AACAATTTTAATAATATTGTTATATTATTTATTATATAATAATAATTTAATTAAATTATATTACATTTTATATATTATATTGATAGATAAAATATTAATGTTATATATAACATAAGGGTAAGTTTGTCAATATGAAAATATTCATGTTCCATGCCAGAGAATTCTTAAAATTACAACCAAACAAATGAATCAACATTCTTTTCCATTCCATTCCTATTACCATTCTCATTCTCATTCCTATTACCATTCCCCCACTGTAACCAAACGTTCCCTCAGTTGCTAGGCCTCTTTCATTTTACAGATTTAAATTTTCAGTTTTAAATTTCTACAGTTAAAAACTCTCAGAATATGTCACGTCTAACTTCTTTTGCTACAGTTAAAAGCTCTCAAAAAACGACACGTCTAACTTCTTTTGCTACAGTTAAAAACTCTAAAAAAATGTCACATTTCAGCTCGAATTGAAAACTCGAATCCGCGAAGCGAAGGAGGCTACGTATCTTATGAGGCATGATATGGGATGTGCACTTTTTTCAACAAAAATGCTTAATATAAAATGACCAGATTTTGATTATGATGGGCGGATGGATGGATGTATGAACATGACAATGAGTCCGTTTAGTTCGTGCATTTAAACTAGTACTTTTAATTTTGGCATTTAAATTTTAAATTTTTTGTGAGAGGAAAATACTATAACAGAATTAAAATCATAGATTTAAACGCATGAAAAAAAGGAGACGATTTATTCCAAAAAAATAAAAGATGACTACATAGTAGAGCATTTTGCATGTAATATTGAAAAGCATTTTGCAAGATATATAGTATGCGATGTGGATTTATTTATAGTATTTACACAAGCATCGCATGCATGTATGCATAGAAAAAACTAATGAAGTTGTGTGCTTTTTTGGAGAAAGAAAACTAATTAAGATTAAATGTATAGATTATTTCATAAAAAGCAATTGTTTTGTCCCTAAATTAATCTTTTAAGTCTTTAAGTGTGTTTTTATACTTACTCTAGTGGTATTTTTATATCAATGTTTTTATACTTAATCTAGTGGTATTTTGTTATCACCCCTAATATTGGAGTGTAGTGTTCACTCAAAGTTAACATATATAAGTACGTATATAAGTATATACATGCATCCACACATACATACTTACGTACATAAAAAAAGTCAAACTCCGTTTCGTCCTTCATCCACGTGTCGCTCTCTTCTTTGTTCTTTTTTCATTTTTAGTTTTTCTTTTCTTTTCTTGATTTTTCCTTTTTTTTTTTTTTTTTTGCTTCTTTTTGCCAGGCCCCCATGCAGTTTAAGGTTTTGAATTTTGATTGAACTTGTCATAGACAGTATGGTTTACTTCCTTCGTCCACTTTTGTCCAGCGGTGGCTCATTTCTTCTGCTGCTCCTCCTCCTCCTCTCGATTTGTTTTTCCTTTTTCCTTTTCACTGAAGGCTCCTAAAGAATTTATATTTTAATGGTGTGCTTTGTTGTAAACAAAAATTTTAAGGACCGTTTGGTTCGTGTACTTAAATGGTTTATTGGCGGAAACTTTATGAGAGAGGAAATTTTGAAATTCAAACTCTTTATGAGAGGAAAAATACTGTATTAAAATTACGGTTTAAGTTTGAGACGTAAACTAAACGAGCCTTAAAAAATTTAGGATTTGAGTCATTTGGTGCTCCTCAATGCTATGGCTTACAATCTGCCATCCTTAGACTATCCACGTTAGCACAGGGCTATATAAGGGCATAACCAATATAGCACCGAAGCAAACTAGAATTAGAACGGAACTGAAACTAAACCTAACACCCAGATACTGCATATGCCAGTGGTTGTGGTACATGTCATTCTGTCTTGAATATGCAGGAGAACTAAATCATGCCAACTTATAGTCAACAATGTTCCAATCAAATTAATTGTATAGACCCATTTTTCTCACTTGTTCCCAATATGATCCCTTATTTGATATTTGATTAGACCGCTCCTAGTGGTCAAACTAGTCATTAATGGTCAGCTTCATTGGTACCCTTTTGGTATGCGTTGCGAACACTTTAATGTTTAGCATCTTATAATAATCAATAGCTATGCAGAAGAATCCATCTCATTGGTTTATGCTTTTGATTCTTATGAACAAGAGAAGTTTAGGGTCCATTTGGTTCGCTAATTTAAGTTTTTAATTCGAGTTGAGATGTGATGTTGTGTGAGAGCTTTTTACTGTAACAAAAAAGTTAGATGTAATTGTTTCTGAGAGCTTTTTATTGTAGTAAAACTCGAATTCTAAACTCGAATAAGCAAAAAAGAACGGCCTTAATGCTTTCGAGTCCATTGTATTAATTCCACTTTCCTACTCACAGTATGTTTTTTTATGATCTTGGCTCATGATTCAATTGTCATGTATTTAACTATTGAACCTCAGTACCGCCATTCACGCACTATTAGGGAGTGGGGGCGCGTCATCAACTCGGCCTCATGGGTAGACATGAGAGCCCGCCTTGGAATCAAGCAAACGTCGAATGCTGCCCTCACTTAAACTGAATCGTACTTCTAATCCAAGTATGTACAAGGATTTTCTTTTTGTAAATAAAGTTTTGTTCATGTAAAGAAGAAGAAAAAAAATCCTTCTAAGGAATAATCATAAGTAAATGTGGAAAACCAATGAAAAGTTTGATTTGTCATTATCATGGTATCGGCTTTACTACTACCTAAAATTATTGCTTTGTTTGTATCCAAATATATATATATATATATATATATTTACTAAATAGATATTTCTTTTTCTAAGTATACTAAAAATATTTTTCCTAAATGTGTCCTACCTCGACCTCACATCACATGACATTCTTGACAAACTTTCATAACCACTTAAAGTTTTGAGGAACTTAAGAGAAATATTAATTTTTAACCACTTTAAGATATTTAGTAACGACAAATATTTTGTTCCACTTTTATTAGTGTTTGCAAACTTTATCATCACTGAAAGACCTTTATTTGTGTCATTCTTCCTCCATTCGCGCGCCAAATTAATATTTAGCAATAATCACTAAATGTGTGGCCAATTGAGAGTAATATTTAAAGGGATATATTATCCATGATTATATTTAGCAATGACGTGTAATGCTACAAAAAGTTTATGGCGACAACTAAAAAATTCATTGTGACGACAAAACAAAATTCATCTTGGGAAAGTCAATTTGTTGTAGTAAGATGAAAACTTACTAATTGATATTTCAACAAAATTTCACACTCCTTTGGAATGTAGTGAAAGTGTCTTTCATTAAGAAGCTTAGAGAGTAAAAAGGCTTATCACAAGGCAAGCATCCCATGACGCAGAAAAGCACCATTTACAAAGTTTATCAAGTACTACATTATTAGTTCTAGTGATACAAACCACTGTATTATACTAGTCCGGCTTGGCAGCACCGTTCACTACAGA